TTTTAGTCTGTGGGCGCCATTTTCCCCAACCGCCCATGGGCTACTTAGCTGTACAGCTGACATTCTAGGAGTCTGGAAGGCCAGCGTCTTGGCCCCTACTCCACCAGACCTCAGTTTCCCCTTCTGCACAGGGAGTCGGTGCTGTCCTTAAGCCCTGACTGGTAGTCAAAGACTCTTTGTGAGGAGGCCTTGGGACCATTGGTGTCAAGAAAGGGGCCACAGCGACCCAGCATTTGGGATAATGGGAGGGACCCAAGGAACCCAGGCTGTCCTGAGGTGACAGGGGAAGGGATTTGCCTTCTTGTGGATGGGTGGCCTCCTGGGATGGGCAGTCACCTAAAAGCCGAGGGATGGGATGGTCCCTGCTCTGTGCTGAGGGTCACATCCTCCTTACGTGTGGCTTCCTCCCGAGATTCCCTCCTGGCTTCCCTCATTTGCTTGCCATCTGCCTAGCAAATTAGGCCCCCTGGCAACACCTGCTGGGAAGCGGAGGCCCAGAGAGACGAGCTGGCACCCAGAGGAAGCCTCTGCCCCATCGAGAACCCCACGCCTGCTGAGCATCAGTGACCTTGGACGTGATTCTCTGGTTCTCTGAGCCTCAGCTTCCTCATCTGTAGAATGGGGATAACGATAGCACATCCTTCCCTCACGGCGATTTGAAGGGTTAAATGAACAATGTGTGTGAAAGAGTCCCTGTGTGTGAAAGAGTCTCTGGCATGTTGGAAGTGCTATCCATGAATTTACTCAATAAAGCGGGGCAGCTGACTGTGACATGGGGGCGGGGGGTGGGGGGCACAGAGAAAAACTGTCCCTGCCACTGATGGTGAGATTCTGCCTTCGGCGTAGACTATTCTCTCTGCTCCTCCACAAAGGGTTAAGCTCTGTCCCACCCCTTCCTCATCCTGTAAGGAGAATGGTCCTTTACAGGTAAGCTGTCGTTGCCTTGGAGACCTCAGCCTTGAAGGGGCTGAGGGGGTACTCTGCGTGGGGGTGTCCTTCGGGAAGGGCGAGGCAGGGGCACAGAAGAGGAAGCAGCCGTCCTTTAAGGCTTCCAGGCCCCCAGGAACCTGCGGGCGTTCCTGCCCGTCAGCCTCCTTTATATATTATCTAAATAACCCATTAGGCTGCAGCGAGCTTTCCTCTAGGCTTCCCCCATCTCTGCCAGTGGAGGGAGCTGGGCTCCATCTCCATGGAAACCCGCCAGCCACAGCCTGGGGGAGGGCGAGAAGGAGAATTAAAGGAACACAGTGCATGGGATGTAGGTGACACCCGCACCCTCGTGTACGTGCCAACAGGCTCCAAGGCCCCCTCCAGGCCTGTTGAGGTGACAAACCAGGCGTGCATGTCACCACACAGCGCCCCCCCCCCCAGACCTACAAATATGCAGGCGTGGTACCCACGCTTGGACCGTCTCACACACCTGGGGCACTGAGCCTCCAGCCCTGCCCCCATTCAGGTCTGCCAGGTCACGGGGCACTGCCATTCTCAACAGATACTGGATTGGAGGACCTTCATGTTGCTTATCCCTCGGGCAGGTGCATTTCCATCAGATGGGAGGGGCAGAGAGGACAAGGCAGGATGTGGGAGCTTGTGGGCATGCGTGCATGCAGGACACCCTTAAAGGTTCTCAGTGGGGCAGGGGCAGGTGTGTTCAGGGAGGAAAGCAGGCCACCCCCGGGCTCAGCCTGGTTCCATGTCCTCCCAGGTCTCCCCCCCGCAGTGGACAGAGGCCAAAGGAGAGCAGTTTCAGGGGCCAAGCAGGGCCAGGGTATGGCCAGGGGCCGGGCCCCTCCCTGCAGGCTCCAGTGGGCATGACCTTGCCAACCTCATCCACTTCAGTTCCTGCCACGCCCTTTCCCTCCGCCTGCCTGTGAGTGGTGTGTGAGGCCCCAGGGGAGGATGGGTTCCCAGCTGGACCCACTGGGGAGCAGCCTGCCTTTGTTGTGCCCTCCTCCAGCCCAGTGATGGGCTTATGCAGTGGGTGGACACTCACTGTTGTGCCCGTGGACTCCTGGGCAATCCCCACCCCCACCCCCGTCCCCGCCCCAGCCAGGTGGCTGCTCATTTTGCCTTAGCCGCAATCTTGGAAGAATCCACTGCGGTCCTCCGGGTGCTTCTTCTTCCCCCTCTTGGGGGGGCCCACCTGCTCCCTGAGCGCCAGTCGGCAGTGGCTCATTCATCTCGTCTTACTACCACACCCTTGCTCCAGTGTCACAAGTGGCTGGGACCTGCTGCTCTGTCTCTGTCATCCTGGGCTTTGTTTGTCTCTGATGCTGGTTCATAGCTTCTCTGCTCCACCCTGCCCACGAGTCCAGCCTGACGGCCAAGCCCAAAAAGGCCCCCTCCTCTGACTCGGGTTCATCTCTCCTCCTTCCCTGCCCCTTGTCTGGTGCATCCCCGAGGGTCCAGGACTCGGAGGAGGCACCCCTAGGTCTGCTCTCTCTCTCTCTCTCTCTCTCTCTCTCTCTCTCTCTCTCTCTCTCTCTCACACACACACACACACACACACACACACACACCCCTCACTCCTTGCTGACCACTTCTCATCAGTGCTTTCTGTAGCTGTCTCCCACCCTTTGTACCCCTCTCCCCTCTCCTCTTCCTTTCCCTGCTGCCAGGGTCTCTGTTTCTCCATTTCTTCATCTTGGAAAGCGGGGTGGTCCAGCATCTGTCTTTGTCTTCCATTCCCTCCCCCAGCCCCATGTCTCAGCCTCTCCAGCTCCCTCCTGCCTCTTTCTCGCCCTGTCTGTCACCCTTCAGTCTTCCCCCGTCTGCCCCACCTTCACAGACATGGCCTTGGCTCCATCTGTACACCAGCTTGTGGAATACTCCCCCCTCCCCTGCCCCTGGAGGTGCTGATGGGGGGTGGGGGGGGGCACCCGCTGAGCTGACAACCTGAGCTGCTTGCTCTGTAATTGCCAGAGGAATGGTGAGAGATCAGAGACCCAGCAGCAGTGGGAGGAGAGGAGGCAGAGCTGCCAGCTGTCAGAGAGCCTCTCAACCTGGCTCCTGCCTGGCTCTGAGCGCCTGGAAGGTGGCGATTTGGTTGTCAAATACCAGGAGACTAAAAGGGGTTGGGTGTGAGATTGTGGGGCATGATGGGATGCAATTTCCCTTGTGTATATGTCCAGGGCATATATGCCACATCTTACCCCGGGAGTCTAGATTTGGAGGACAAACGGAGGGGCTGGCATGACAGGGAATGTCATTCCAGCAAATGGAGCACTTGAGTGCAGGAAGGTCCTTCTTTGAGTGTCTTTTCTCGCTTCTCCCTTCCCTCCCCCTCCTAAGACCAGAGCGCTCAGAGCTCCCAAGGCTGCTGTTTGATCGCCTGCCCTCTGATCTGAGTCTCCTACTGCTTCCTACAGGCCTTGAAGTTGAGGCCTGGGGCCCACCCTGCTTGCACTGGCTTTCTTGGGGAAGGTGGGGGTGGAACAGGTCTGCTGTTGCTCCTCCCTTCTGGGCCCCAGCTCAGCTCTTGCAGGTTGGGGATAGGCTATATGTTTGCCACTTCCTCTCCTCCCAAGTCATTCCCTTGGCCTTCAGCCCATCCACACTGACCCACTCTGATGCTTCTCCCCCTCCCACTGCAGCCTTGGGTGCGGGAGTCTGAGAGCTCCAAGCTGACTGCTATTCACCGCCATCTACTTTCCCTGCCCCTTCCCCAGAGTCTGTTGCATTTGTTACTCTTCATGGGTTGCCTTACACAAAACCAATTTGTGGCTCCCGGTAGCCCCCTGACAAAGTCTAGATACCTTTACATGGCATTCCAGGCCTTCCCACCTACCCCTCTGGCATCCTGGATGAAGGTTGGTCTCACTCTCCCTAAGGTCCTGGCTGGCACAGGAGGATACCCGGGATGGGTTTAGCGAGGCATCCAGAATTCGGACTCCAGCCTCCAACCTCTCAGCCACCCAGCATCCTGCTCTTGCCCTGCTTGCACTTTTTCCTGTTTGGAGTCAAAGTGGTCTGGCTTCTTGGGAAGCTTTCTCTTCAGAAGCTGGGGCCTGCCAGGCACTGAAGAGGTGTCGGAAGCACTGTCCCAAAGCTTTCCGTGACCCCTGACCTGACCCTGGCTTGGAGCATCTGGAAGTGGCGAGGCCACAGAGCCTCTATTGCCCCCTGGGGGCCTGAGGGACAGCGGAGAGTTGCTTTCCTCCTTCCCTCCCTCCCTCCTGTCACTTCCTGAGGTCAGGCTTTCTCCCCTTTCTTTGTTCGTTTTCCTCAACCTATTCTGTGCAATGCTGCTTCTTTGGGCTCCTTTCCTTCCTTCCCTGTCTCCACTTCCCAAGCCTCCCCAGGCCAGAACAGCATTCAGTGATCAGTAGGCTCTGAAACCCATACCAATGAGACTGCAACAAGAGTTCTTCTCTACATACGTGTGCACCCATGCTTGCGTGTGCACACAAAAATAGCAGATGTGAGAAAATATCCTCCACAGATACACAAGCAAACAGCCCCCTCCCAGAGAAGACACATACAAATGTTCTCCTGCATGCACACACACAGCCACATAAATATCCACACTCATGCCCAGGGGCACCTGCTTGCTGGCACATGAAGTCATACATGATAACAACATGCACAGAGCAGCCTGTGGCATGCCCAGGAGAGCTGATTGGGGCAACAAGTTGGTGATGGAGAGGCAGTTAATGGGAAAGGCAAATATGGAAAATAGGAGGGGAATGAAAAGCAACCTGGAGGCCCAGCCAGTGCTTAGTTCCTTCGAAGTGGGGGGGGGGGAGGGATAGGGGAGTTGACCAGCAGCGGGCGGGGCTAGGGGCGGGGCCAAGAGCCCTGACTCGCCCAGATGTTTGTAACTAACAACCATCCGTTTTCTCTTTTCTCCTCCCCCACCTTTTCCTTCCATCCTCCCCTCTCCCAGTGCCCCCACCCCCAGTTCCCGCCCCAAGCCGTCCACTAGCCCCCTTCCCACCAAGCCGAGCCTGAGCCGAGTCCGGCCGGCTGTGCCGAGCCGAGCCGCCGGCGCCGCCTGGAAGATGGCCGTGGCGCTGCGGTACTTGTGGCCTCTCCTCCTCCTTTGCAGCCCCTGCCTGCTCATCCAGATTCCTGATGAATGTGAGTAGCTAGAGGGAGCCTTAGAGCCTCCCTCACCGCCACGCTTGACTCCTCTTTATTTTCTAATTCCTCACCTTCTCCCGGTTCCGGACCCTCACCCTTTATCCCCCCATCCCTCCTTTCTTGGGTATGGAGTGGGCAGGAGGTACCCAGGACATTGGATACCTTTGGAGAGAACAGAATGGAAGGCGCAGGGTGTGTCAGCACCATGGACAGAGAGCAGAGGGGCGGACAGGGCTGGGGAAATTTCAGCACCACGGATAGAGGCTTGGGCACCGGACCTCCTCTGCCATCCCTAGGTCCTCCCCACCTCTCCACATCCCCCTCCCCTAGGGGTGTGGCAAGCGGGCGGGGAAATGGCAGCTCAACTAGCTTGTGTAAAGGCCTGGATTCAAATCTTGACCCCACTTCTAATTTGGGTCATCTCATCTTGGACCCTTGTAGCCCTACGAACGGAGACAGGAAAAGAATACTCCTTGCCAAGGCCCAGCAGGCTTCTGGAGCTAACGATTTAATGCAGTTATTTGGTGGGTCTGGGAGGTGGGGCTGCTGGAACATTACATTTGTGTGGGATCACGGGTAGGTGCGGGGGTGTTTGGGATTGTAACTAGAGGGTTGTGACTGAACATGAGTATTTTTTATGCCTGTGAGTTGGACAGGCTGTATATTTGTATGTGCGTGGCTATGATTGACTAATTGTGGCTCCTGAGTGTGGTTTTGATTCCCTGTTATTTTGAACTGTTATTTATTGGTCAGGTATGTTAAGGTCTGTAGGTATTTTCCTGTTAACATTTGCTTGTAGTGAATCATGTGTGCGTGTGAATGGGGTTGCATGTGAGTACCTGTTTGTGTGTGTGTGTGGGGGGGGGAGGTATGTTACTGTGATGGGCTTTTCTCCTGAGTGTGAGCAGGAGTTGTAAACACCGCTGTAAGTGGCTATTGGGCTTCAGTGAAGGGCATTTCACAGGGTAGTATTTATGTATCTTGAGCCTGCTCCTTCCGTAGCTCCAATCTTTGCCACCTTTTTCTCTGAGCCTGGACCTGGGGAAGGCCAGTGTCTCTGAGAGATGAGCTGGGAGTTAATAGTAAGAAAGAGTGTCCATGCCAGGAATGGGGCGGGGGCCAAAGGAGATGGGCTCAGAAAGCTCCTGGCATTGGGGAGCAGCAAGGGTTTAGAGGAGATGGAGAGACGATGACAGAACAAAATTTGGGGATGCCCCCTTAGATATACACGTGGAGGTCTATACAGTCATGCCTATGCAGACTCCACCACTTACAAATGCACATGGACACACACATCGGCAGACACAGCCAAGCCATCTGAACCCAGCCAGGTACAGCGATACAGAGGGGACAGAGACCCCGAGATGACACATAAGAGGCACACAGACAAGCATACATGTGCACACACACAAAAATGAGGGGTTTAGACACAAAAGAACCGTCATCCACACAGACACAGAGGCAGGCATACAACACAAAATTATGCACTGAAGGCAAGCTTCTCTGGGTAAACCCTGTCAGGCAGATGCAAGCACACAGCCTTCACATGCACTCTGGCAAGACACACCCCTATACAAATATACTGGCGGACACAAACATACTGGGGTGCACCCCAGGACATCCACATGTGCCGGTCTCACACTTTTACACATTTACACACATACTCATCCTCCTTCCCTCTCCATCGCCTCTCAATTGCTTTTCATGCCTTACCCTGTATATCCGCCCACCCTGCTGCCACATGGGCTGGGCCATCTGGCCAGGTGCATCTGTTTGTGGAGAGGCAGGGAGAATTTGGGGAAAGACAGGAGCAAGGAAAGAGAAGTAGGCCAAAGACCGTGGCAGGTCTGAGGCTGCCCCGGCCATTGGCCTGCACTTGGTATTAACCTCGATACAATATGGCCTCCAGCTCAAGCTCACTCCCCAGCCATACCAGGCCCCTTTGTTTCTTCCTGCTTTCCCCACCCAGTCCATTTTCCCTACCCTGTAGTCCCTGTCATTGTCTCTTGCTCTTGGGCTGCCTGCCCTGGCCCCTCCCCAGTTCAGGGCTCTCTGCAGTGTCCCCAGGGCCCCCCTCCTCTCTCCTGGGGACCCTCACGCTGAGGTCTTCTGCAGACACAAAGCTTTCAGGAGCAGCCTACTGTTCCCTTCCCCGCCCTGCCTGCCTTCTCTCCCTTCCTTCACAGCCATCCTGGCCAGTGCTGGGCTGAGTCCTGCAGCTGGGCAGTGACTCTGGCCTCGGCCTCAGGGAGCTGGGAGGAAGCAAGGGGAGTAAAAGGAGGACTATGTCAGCCCTGCGGGGCGATGGAAACTGCAGGGCCTTTGGGAGGGTTCGCAGGGAGGGGGGCAGCTGGGCCCTGAAGGCTGGGCCTGGGTAATTGAAAACACTGAGCCCTGCTAATTGGATTAGGAGGGAAGTGGGCTGGAGCAGGGGAGGGTGCATTGGCTGCGCGGGCTGATTGCCTCCCAGCCTCCCAAGGCATCCTGGGTGGAGTGGGGGTCAGCTCTGCAAACCCTGTCAGGCAGATGCAAGCTTCTATCTAAAGGGCACTCCTTTTAAAGGCACACATTTCTCTCTCCCTGCTCTCTGGCACCGAGATCCAGGCACCGCCCCACCCCTAAAGCAATGATCTGTGCTCTGTCCTGTCCTGGGGATTGACCTCCCACAGCTCCAGCCCAGGATGTGCCTCCCCAGCCATGTTACGCCGCCTCTCCCACCCTCCCTTCGCCCAGGGGGGTCTGCCCATGCTTATTTCTTCCCATGCCATCGGGCCCCCTGCTGGGGCGGTGTGTCAGCATTTCTCTCCGCTTTCTCCCTTGCTGCCTGGATTTCTCAGATGAAGGACAGCATGGTAAGTTGGGAAAGGGTGAAAGTGTTTGCCAGAAGGCCAGGGAGAGAGGGAAAGAGCGGTGCCAGCATGTCCCCCTCTCCCTCCTCTTCTCTCTGTGTGCCATGTGCCCTGTGCTGGTTGCTGTCTTATTTTATTTAATTTATGTATTTGTGTATTTAGTTATTTTCAGAGAGGAAGAGAGAGGGATAGAGAGATAGGAACAACGATGAGAGAGATAAACATCAATTGGCTGCCTCCTGCACGCGTCCCTCCCCTCCCCCATTGGGGATGGAGTCTGTAACCCAGGCATGTGCCCTGACCAGGAATTGAACTGTGACCTCCAGGCTGATTGCTGTCTTTTCTGGCCCTTGAGTTCCTGTCCCACTGACTCAGGCTGGAGGCCCACCTCAGCCTCTCCCTCTCCCTGTCCCTCACCTATGTTGGGCTGTCTTTGTTCTGTCACTGCCCCGATCTGGCTTTTCTCCATCATTCTTGCCATTTTTTTCTGGTGCTCTGTTCTCTCTGATCCTCTCTCTCCCTGAGAGGAGTTGCCTTTTTGGTTTCTGTGTCCTTGGTTTTGTTCTCTGTCCGTTTCTTCCACTCCCTTTGGCTTTACCTCTCTCTTTGGGGCAGCTTTCTTTGGAACTTTGTTGCTGTTTTCTCTCTCTTCTCTTTCTCTATTTGTTCTGTGCCCCTTTCTCTCTTTTCATGTCGTACAAGCTTGTGGCCAAGCTATTTGGTCTCTCTAGCTTGTCCTAACTCTTCCCCCACCCCCATGGCCCTGGGGCCTCTACGGGCTCCGGACCCTGCCTCTCTCATGATGGGATGGGGGATGCGGCCATGATGTCATCCTCACCACTGTTCTCCTCATCCTGTCCCCAGTGATGGAGCCACCTGTCATTACGGAACAGTCTCCACGGCGCCTGGTTGTCTTCCCCACAGAAGAGATCAGCCTGAAGTGTGAGGCCAGTGGCAAGCCTGAAGTACAGTGAGTGACCTTCACCCTCTAAGCCCTGTTGTTGACCATTGACCTCAAGTTTTAATTAAAAAAAAAAAAAATATATATATATATATATATATATATATATATATATTGATTTCAGAGATGGAGAGAGAGATAGAGAGAAACATCAATGATGAGAGAGCATCATGGGTCAGCTGCCTCCCACAAGCCCCACACTGGGGATTGAGCCCACAACCCGGGCATGTGCCCTGATCTGGAATTGAACTCTGACCTCCTGGTTCACAGGTCGACGCTCAACCACTGAGCCATGCCGGCCAGGCTGATTTCAACTTCTAGTCCTCAGGCCTCCCAACTTCTGAGCCCCAAAGCCCCAGATTTCCCGCATCACCCTTGGTCCTTGCCCCATCCCAGCCTATCCCAGGGGCCCCTGGTTGCTACTGCCCTTGCCTCTGGTCTAGTCTAGCTCCTGACTCAGGCTCCAGGGCCTCAGTCCTCTGAGCCCTTTCTGCCCACAGGTTCCGCTGGACCCGGGATGGCATCCACTTCAAACCCAAAGAGGAACCAGATGTGACCGTGAAGCAGGCACCCCACTCGGGCTCCTTCACCATCACTAGCAACACCACCAACTTTGCCCAGAGGTTCCAGGGCACCTATCGTTGCTTCGCCAGCAATGCCCTGGGCACCGCCATGTCCCACGAGATCCAGCTCATGGCGGAGGGTGCGAGGCACTGCAGGGACAGGGGAAAGGCCTGGGACACATGACAGGGTCCCTGACCAAGTCGCAGGGACCCTGTGTGGGAGCTGTGGGCCATTGCCGGCTTGCTGGCTTGTTGGGTGGAGGGTTGATGCTCTGCCTGCATTTCCCTCCCTCTGCCTGTCCTGTCTGTCTGAGTCATTGCCTGGGCTTGAGCTTCTGTCCCCTCTCCATGTCTGCAGTCCCATTTGTTTCTCCATCACTCTTGGGTCATCTCTCTCACTTCCCTCACCACTGTCTCCTTCCCTCTGCTTCCCCTCCTCCCTCCCCCCTGCTCCTTCTCCCCACCTCCAACCTGGCCTCTCTGGCTCTGCCTTTATCTGTGTCGCCCTTTCCCTGGGGTTTTCCCTCTGCATTCCATCCTCCCTGAGCTTGCTGCCTCCCAAGCTGGCTTTTCCTCTCTCTGCCCCTCTGGTTACCTTGGGAACCGTTGCCATGGTTTCTGTGTCAGGATGATGGAAGGGTCTGTGATTCCCACATCCCACCACAGCTCCCCTCCCCCACTGCTGCACCTCAGGCTCCCCCTACCCATCCTTGTCCTGTCCTGGGGGTGGGAACTGAGAATTGTAGAGGGTTAACCCTTTACAGCCATCTGGCCAGCCCATCCTCTCCTGCATGGAGTGCCGGTCTCAGCCCTGAGCCCAGAAACGACCCAAAGTCTCTGCTTCCTTTTACGTGACCTTGCTCATGGTCTGGCCCTCTCACACCCTCAGCCATCCCTCTGCCTTTCCCCCACCCTGACCTGCCTGGACCAAGAGGAGAGTGGGGACCCATCGCACTGGCCTCTCTGTCCCTTCTAGGTGCTCCCAAGTGGCCAAAGGAGACAGTGAAACCTGTTGAGGTAGAGGAAGGGGAGTCGGTGATTCTGCCTTGCCACCCTCCACCCAGTGCAGAGCCTCTGCGGATCTACTGGATGAACAGCAGTGGGTGCCCACAAGGGGGCCGCCACCCGGGGTGGGCGTGCCAGTGGGCACGTCTTCCTGGACGGGGGTCCTGACCTCTGCCTCCTTGACCCCCGCCCCCTCAGAGATCATGCACATCACACAGGACGAGAGGGTGACAATGGGCCAGAATGGCAACCTCTACTTCGCCAACGTGCTCATCAAGGACAAGCACTCAGACTACATCTGCCATGCCCACTTCCTTGGCACGCGGACAATCATTCAAAAGGAACCCATCGACCTCCGGGTCAAAGCCAGTGAGTCCCAAAGGCTCTGACATGCCCGTGCTCCTCTGTGACACTCCGGCCTGACCCATTCACTAGATCGGAGGCCCTCAATCTTCCCGAGGACAGCTCGGCTCCATCTCAACCCTCCCCAGATCCCTTCCCGGGGGGAGGGGGAGGGCCAAGAGCAGAGATGGGGCCTCCCCTTAGCAGAGAAGGAAACAGACCCTGGGGGCTCATGCCGGTGTCCAGAGTCACCCACTCCCTGGCTCCTTCCTCACAGCCAACAGCATGATTGACAGGAAGCCGCGCCTGCTCTTCCCCACCAACGCCAGCAGCCACCTGGTGGCCTTGCAGGGGCAACCACTGGTCCTGGAGTGCATCGCCGAGGGCTAGTGAGTGTAGGGGCCCAGGGTGGGGTTGGGCAGGGTCTCTGCTGAGGGGCGGGGCTCAGCAGCCCTGTCCTCTCTCCCCTCCGCTCTTCTCCTTGGCCTCCCTGCACTGTGCCCAGCCCCACGCCCACCATCAAGTGGCTGCGTCCGAGCGGCCCCATGCCAGCCGACCGAGTCACCTACCAGAACCACAACAAGACTCTGCACCTGCTGAACGTGGGCGAGGAGGATGATGGCGAGTACCGTTGCCTGGCTGAGAATGCCCTGGGCAGTGACCGGCATGCCTACTATGTCACCGTGGAAGGTATGGTGCCTCTGCCAGGTTTAACCCCTACCCGGTTGCAAGGCTCCCAAGAATGGGGCTCCATCGAGGTAGCTCCAGTCGGTTAGAGCCGTGGTTGGCAAACTGCGGCTTGAGAGCCACATGCGGCTCTTTGGCCCCTTGAGTGTGGCTCTTCCACAAAATACCAGGGCCTGGGCCAGTCTATTTTGAAGAAGTGGACTTAGAAATTGAAGTTTAAAAAATGTAGCTCTCAAAAGAAACTTCAATCGTTGTCCTGTCGATATTTGGCTCTGTGGACTAATGAGTTTGTCGACCACTGGGCTAGAGCATCGTCCTGATATTCCAAGGTTGCAGGTTTGGTCAGGGCACATACAAGAACCAACACTGAATGCGTAAAATAGGTAGAACAAATCTCTCTCTCTCTCTCTCTCTCATCAATTTCAAAAAGAAAGAATTAGAAAATCTTGAAGGAAAAAAAAAAAAGAATGACCTCTGGGGACCGAAGTTTGTGATATCATGTCACAGGGGGTGGGGGGAGGCAAGGGGAGAGCTGGCTGAGGCTCCGGGCTCAGGGCGGCTTTCCCCTTCCCCGCAGCTGCCCCATACTGGCTGCATAAGCCCCAGAGCCGTCTCTATGGGCCAGGGGAGACTGCCCGCCTGGACTGCCAAGTGCAGGGCAGGCCCGAACCAGAGGTCTCCTGGAGAATCAACGGCTTCCCCGTGGAGGGTGAGAGCATGGGGAGCCCTAGGGGATGGGGGAGGAAGAGGAAGGGGGGAGGGGACTCAGCGTGGCTCACTGCCCTGGCCTGGCCTGTGGACCCACCTGCCGCACTCACAGAGCTGGGCAAGGACCAGAAGTACCGGATCCAGCATGGAGCCCTGATCCTGAGCAACTTGCAGCCCAGCGACACGATGGTGACCCAGTGCGAGGCCCGCAACCGGCACGGGCTCCTGCTGGCCAATGCCTACATCTATGTTGTCCGTGAGTGCCAGCAAGCTAGGCCCCCTCCCCTCCCCTCCCCTCCCCTCCCCTCTCCTCCCCTCCCCTCCCCTCCCCTCCCCTCCCCTCCCCTCCGTGCCTCATAACCGCCAGTCTGCCCCTGTAGCCCACTAGGCTGACAGCCACAGCTGGTTTGTCTACCACTGTTGCCTTCCTTCTCTTGGGGCCCTTCACCCCATCTCTCGCTTATCCTCACAACAGCAGAGCAGGGAGTCGGAGGAAGGGCAGACGAGGAAGCAGCCTCAGAAAGAGCTCTGGCTCGCCCCATGTCACCCTGGCCAGGACATGCCCAAGGCCAACATGGTGGCTCCTCTCCTGGAGCCTCGGGGAAGGTGGGGGCTGGGCCAGGAAGGGGTGGACTGTCAGTGGGGGCTCGAATGATTGGTAAAACTTGGGCGGCTGGGATAGGGAGACACATCTGAGGCCGAGAGAGGCTCAGCCGGGGGCCTGAGCTGGGCACAGGGATGCCTGATGGGTAGAGCTCCCCTGCAGAGCCCTGAATCTGCCCCCTCGCCCCCCGGCACCCCCCCCCCCGCACTGTCTCCCAGAGCTGCCGGCCAAGATCCTGACCCCAGACAATGAGACCTACTTGGCAGTCGAGGGCAGCACTGCCTACCTTCTGTGCAAGGTCTTTGGAGCCCCCGTGCCCAGCGTCCAGTGGTAAGTGCTCCCACTCAGCAGGGGTGGTCTGAGCCATCCTCTGGCCTAGGGAGCCAGGAAGAATGGGGCGCGCATGGCTGGGGTCTGAGCCAGCCCCCCTTTCCCCCCTGTGCCAGGCTGGACAAGGAAGGAAAGACGGTGTTACAAGACGAACGCTTCTTCCCCTACACCAACGGGACCCTGGGCATTCGAGACCTCCAGGCCAACGACACAGGACACTATTTCTGCCAGGCTGCCAACGACCAAAACAATGTAACCATCGTGGCGAACCTGCAGGTCAAAGGTCAGGTGACCCCCTCCAGGTGGCCCCCTCCCCATGTGATTAGGCACCTCCAGGAGGGATGGTCGGGGTCTCTGGAGGACACCAGAGTGACCCTCCCTTCCCATCGTTGCCCCCAGATGCCACTCGGATCACACAGGGGCCCCAGAGCACGATCAAGAAGAAAGGCTCAAGGGTGACATTCACCTGCCAGGCCACCTTTGACCTCTCCTTGCAGCAGAGCATCACCTGGCGTAGAGATGGTCGCAGCCTGCAGGAGCTTGGGGACAGTGACAAGTGCGGGCCCAGTGGAAGGGGGCGGTGTGGGCAAAGCAGAATGTCCAGACCTGGCCTCATCCATGGGGGGGAGCACCTCTGCTTTGAGGGAGAAGGTTCTGGCAGGAGGGGGAGGAAGGGAGCAGAGCACAGAAGGTGGAGAGAGTGGTGAGTCCATCGGGAGCAGAAGGACAAGCATCCCTCGCTCACCTTCCCAGGTACTTCATAGAGGACGGGCACCTGGTCATCCACAGCCTGGACTACAGTGACCAGGGCAACTACAGCTGCGTGGCCAGCACCAAGCTGGATGTGGTGGAAAGCAGGGCGCAGCTCCAGGTGGTGGGTGAGTCCTGGGGTGGGGGGGGGGGCGGACAGCAGGCTCGTGGCCTGGAGGCCTGGGGGGCACCAGGCCTTGGAGCACAGGGGCCCAGGTTCACATGTCAGGGCCCTTTTGAGCTGGGGGTCTGATCTTTGGGCTCGAGCATGGACCAGAACACTCACCCCCCGTGGCCCTCAGGGAGCCCCGGGCCGGTGCCGCAGCTGGAGCTGTCTGATCGTCACCTGCTGAAGCAAAGCCAGGTGCGCCTGTCCTGGAGCCCGGCTGACGACCACAACGCCCCCATTGAGAGTAAGAGGCCTGAGCATGGTGCCACTCACCTTCCCCACTGCCGCCCCGGCTAGGCATCCCTCCTCCCTCCTCCCTCCTCCCTTCTCCCTGGCTCTGTGACTGCACCTCACCGGGGCTCTCGGTTCCTCATGCAAGTCCCAGAATGCCAGTTGCCTTGGGCACTCTCTCCCTTGGCCCGAGTCAGATTTGGACCCATTACCCATCCCCATGCCACACGCTGATAACTCCACTGCGATTCACTCCTTTTTGTAGAGTATGACATTGAATTTGAAGACAAGGAGATGGCTCCTGAGAAATGGTACAGTCTGGGCAAGGTGCCTGGCAACCAGACCTCCACCACCCTCAAGTTGTCACCCTATGTCCACTACACCTTTAGAGTGACTGCCATCAACAAATATGGTCCTGGCGAGCCCAGTCCGGCCTCTGAGACTGTGGTTACACCTGAGGCAGGTGAGCTATTTGGGAGGGGGTCTCAGATGCAGGGTCCCCGGGCTCTGCAAGCAGGGCCTGCAGAGGGGATTGTGCCCAAGTCCTCCGCTTCCAGGTTTTCAAAGGGAGCTGGGGGATGGGGTTCCCTCGGGGCTAATGGCCAGAATGGGCTGTTCCTTCCTTGGTCCTCTTGACTTTCTCTGCCTCAGCAGGAGCTCATAGCATTGATGTCTTTTTTAAAGCTTTCTACTTTTTTAATTTTTTTAAACTATGTCTTATTGATTTCAAAGAGAGGAAGGGAGAGGGAGAGAGAGATAGAAACATCAATGATCAAAGCGAATCATTGATCGGCTGCCTCCTGCACGCCCCACACTGGGGATCGAGCCCGCAACCCAGGCAAGTGCCCTGATGGGGAATCGAACCATGACCTCCTGGTTCATGGGTTGATGTTCAACCCCTGAGCTACACCGGCCAGGCCCCAGCATTGATGTATTAACAATACATTACTTTCCAGCCCCAGAGAAGAACCCCGTGGACGTGAAGGGGGAAGGGAACGAGACCAACAATATGGTCATCACTTGGAAGGTGAGGGGGCCCGGGCTGAGCTTCCCCCAGGACATTATGCCAGGACCCACATGTTTGCCAATCCCCTGGCTGTGCTGAGGACCAGAGGATGCCTGGGGGTGTGAGCCTGGGTCACAGGTGGGGATATGTCGCAGGAGGAGACTGCTCTTGGCTGACCAGATCCTGTTCTGCTCGCCCCCCTACAGCCACTCAGGTGGATGGACTGGAACGCCCCTCAGGTTCAGTACCGCGTCCAGTGGCGCCCTCAGGGGACGCGAGGGGCCTGGCAGGAACAGATCGTGAACGACCCCTTCTTGGTGGTGTCCAACACCTCCACTTTTGTGCCCTATGAGATCAAGGTCCAGGCCATCAACAGCCAGGGCAAGGGCCCCGAGCCCCAGGTCACCATTGGCTACTCGGGGGAAGACTGTGAGTAGCGGGGGTGAAGCCCGTGTGTGCCTTCACAGCCCACTCCCCTCCCAGCCCCTACCTCTCAATAGCGCATTTCATAGGAGTAAGAATATTCCATTGTCTTACATAACCATAGTGACATTGCGAAGAGTTATCACCGACACAATACATTTCTGTAATTGGCAGTCAATATTCCAATTGTAATAGTCAGTGCTGTCTTTCCCCCAGCCCAGGGTCCAGTCCAGAGTCCAGCCCAGGGTCCAGTCCAGAGTCCAGTCCAGGGTCCAGTCAGGACCCAGTCCAGGGTTTAGTCAGGATCCAGTCCAGGGTCCAGCCATGATCCAGTCCAGGATCCAGTCCAGGGTCCAGTCAGGATCCAGTCCAGAGTCCAGTCCAGGGTGCAGCCCAGGATCCCACACGGGGTCTTGCTGCTTTCCTTCCCTTGAACTGAAACATCAGATGTTCACTTTGATCACCTCGTCAAGATCTTCTCCGGTTACTTGTAGTTACTATTTTCTGCCTTGCAATTAATAAACAGCCTGCAGAGACAGACAGACCCCGAGGTCATGCAAATGCCCTGCCTCTCCCCCATAGAGCTTCCAAATCCATCTTCTCCCCCTCCCCCCAGCCCCGGAGGGAGGGTTCTGGACTGGCCTCAGGATGTCACAGGCCCTTATCCATGTTACTGGCTGCTTCCAGATCCCCAGGCAAAACCCAAGCTGGAAGACATCAAAATTCTTAACGCGAGCGCTGTGCTGGTCAAATGGTGGCCCGTGGATCCAGCCCAGGTCAAGGGCCACCTCCGAGGATACAATGTAAGGGTCCGAGGTGTGGGAGGTGGGGTGATCCCTGGGGTGAGGCCACCGAGAGTGAGAGAAGGTTGGAGGCGGGCCTCCGCCAGCTGCCAGCTGCTCTTCTGGAAGTCCCTGAGTTGTGAGGAAAGGGTCCCCGTTGAGGACAGTGGGTAGCATGTACCCGAGGGTCACTGCGGGATCTCCTGTCCACCTATAGTTGACGTACTGGTTGGAGGGCAGTCCGAGGAGGCACAGCAAGAGGCACATCCACAAAAGCCACATGGTGGTACCTGCCAACACCACCAGCACCGTCCTGGATGGCCTGCGGCCCTACAGCTCCTATCGCCTGGAGTTGCGGGCTTTTAACAGCCGGGGCTTGGGACCTGCCAGCGAGACGACCTTCAGCACCCCAGAGGGAGGTGAGGTTTGCATTCCGTGCCCCGGTCCTGGCCCCTCCTCACTGTCCCAGGGCGAGCCTGGGCGAGGACCTGCTGCTCGTCTCTGTGCCCTGCAGTGCCTGGCCCCCCGGAGGCATTGCACCTGGAGTGCCAGTCTGACACCAGCCTCCTGCTGCGCTGGCAGCCTCCGTTCAGCCACAATGGCGTGCTCACTGGCTACGTGCTGTCCTTCTTGCCACGTATGGATGTCGGGGGGCTCAGAGCCCCAGCCCAGCCTGAGCGGGAGCTGGAGGGGAGCTGGGGTGTGGGTAGAGCTGTCTGCCAAGGCTCACTCCCTCCCCACCTGTCCTTGCAGTGGGGGACGGGGGCGAGGAGCAGTTGTCCTTCAACCTCTCGGACCCCGAGCTGCGGTCATACAACCTGACCAACCTCAGCCCGCACCTGCAGTACCGCTTCCACCTGCAGGCCACCACGAAGCAGGGCCCTGGGGAGGCCATTACGCGGGAAGGAGGCACCATGGCCTTAACTGGTAAGATGGGGGGCTGAGGAGGCTCCGTCAGGCAGCCAGGCCCAGGAGGGCGGAACTTGAGCTGCCTCGAGGTCCCACACCCTCCTCTCGCTCCCCAGGGACCCCAGATTTCGTCGGCCTCTCGGCCATAGCCGGCGATAATTACAGCGTGGTCTCCTGGGTCCCCAAGGAGGGCCAGTGCAACTTTGGCTTCCAGATCGTGTTCAAAACCCGGGGCGGTGAGCACGCATGAGGCCTCTGGGGGGAGAAGGAGCTCTGGGCCCAGAGGGGCTGGGGATGCGGTGAAGCAAGGAACTGCCTGGGACTCCCCCTCATCCCTGCTGCCCTCTTGCTTCTGCAGATGAGAAAATGGATGCCTATATCCCGCCGCAGTATGTCAATTACAACCAAAGGTCCTACACGCAGTGGGACCTGCAGCCAGGTACTGACTACGAGATCCAGCTGCTCAAGGAGACACCCAAGGAGACGGTGCTTCTGGGCCAGATAGCTGTGAAGACCAACGGCACTGGTGAGGCCCCGGGGAGCTCAGGGCGCCACGCAGTTAGCTTCCCTCTGTCCCCAGCTCAGCCATCATCCCCCTAGGCTCCATGGCTCCTCTCGCCTCCCAGAATGTGGGTACCTCTTGGCCCATGACAGAAAAGTCCAGGCCCCTGAAACAGCCCATTTTAGCATCCTTCTGTTTTAACTGTTTCTGAAGCAGTCCTTTTCTCAGAAGGTTTTCCTCCCTGCCCCCTGCTTTCCAGGCTGTCCCCCCTCTCGCATCAATGACACACACCCCATTCCTGGCCGGTGTGGCTCAGTGGTTGAGCGCCGACCTATGAACCAGGAGGTCACAGTTCGATTCCTGATCAGGGCACGTGCCTGGGTTGTAGGCTCCATCCCTAGTGGGGGGCGTGCAGGAGGCAGCTGATCAATGATTCTGTCTCATCCTTGATGTTGATGTGTCTACCTCTCTCTCCCTTCCTCTCTGAAATCAATAAATTACAGGCACCCCTCAACCCCAGGTCCTCACCCCCACCTGGTCCTCTGATCTCTGTTGTCTGTGGGCCAGACCTGCTGCTGCCCCTCCCCATTCCTTGAGGGAAGAGGGGTTGTGACAAAAGTGAGGCCCACACACAAGACCATGAACCTCGGGGCATTGTCTTGGGCTGCGGGGCTGCAGTGCCCGGGCGGAGGCGGGGAGGGGGGGGGCTCTGTCTCACTTGGGACCCGGCCCTCCCCACCAGGCCGAATCAGACTTCCTCCTCCTGGTTTTGCCACTGAGGGCTGGTTCATCGGCTTCGTCAGCGCCATCATCCTCTTGCTTCTCATCTTGCTCATCCTCTGCTTTATCAAGCGCAGCAAGGGTGGCAAGTACTCAGGTAACCCTGACCCTGGGTCCCTTCCACAAGTCCCTCTGGGTCCCCGAGCCCCTGGCAGGATGGCATGGGTGTGTTGGGGGGGCAGGCAGGGATCCAGCGCAGATGGCAGCCATGTGGGGTGAGGGGTATACCCTTGTAAGTTTCCTGGCGTTTGAGAGCTGCTGAGACAGTGCTGGGGGTGCCTGTGTCCCCCATCTGGGGGTGGGGCCCAGTGTCCAGGGCTAAGCTGGGGCTGGAGAAGCAGTCAGCTCCTCTCTGTATCTTCAGTAAAAGACAAAGAGGACACCCAGGTGGACTCTGAGGCCCGGCCGATGAAGGATGAGACCTTCGGCGAGTACAGGTGAGCTGGGGTAGGAGTACTTCCGGTCAGCTGTCCAGCACCACCCTCCCTTTCCTATCTGACGCTGTCTCTCTCTTTTCTGTGCTGCTGGGTGACATCAGGTCCCTGGAGAGGTAAGGCAGGGGTGGTGGGAAGATACTGTCAGACCCTGATGGCAGGGACACCCCCCTCCCCCCACCCTGTGGACTGTATGTGCTTTGAAGAGCCGGGGCCCCGCCTGCCAGGCTCTGAACTCCCACGACCTCTGACCTGGCAGCTCCCTGCTTCCGGGACAAGCCAACCCCTCCAGCTCCTCTTCCACACGCTGACACCCAGCTTCCAGGCCCGGCCGTCACCTTCCCAGCTCCCCCACTCCGGGCTGTGCAAGGGCAGACAGCTAGCTAGGGGTCTGGCTCACCTACAGGCAAGGAGCCAGGCCCCAGGAGCCCCCCAGGCTAAGCGCATCCGCCGGGATTCTGAGTATCTCACACCTGCCCTCCTGGGGGTGTGCATGCCCCTAGCCCTCATGGATGCATGTCAAGGATGCGAACCTCATCCCCATTGCATTCAGAGCACATGGAAGGCAGACAGAGCCTGGGCCACGGAGGCCCCACCAGGCCTCCCCGCTAGGCCTCCCCGCTAGGCCTCCTCCCATCAGGCCAGCACCTGCCGGGCCCCCTGGGCAGCCTCCCACTCCCCCCTGTCCTCTGCCCCTGCAGCGACAACGAGGAGAAGGCCTTCAACAGCAGCCAGCCATCCCTCAATGGAGACATCAAGCCCCTGGGCAGTGATGACAGCCTGGCTGACTACGGCGGCAGCGTGGACGTCCAGTTCAACGAGGATGGCTCCTTCATCGGCCAGTACAGCGGCAAGAAGGAGAAGGAGGCGGCAGGAGGCAATGACAGCTCAGGGGCTGCCTCCCCCATCAACCCCACCGGGCCCCTGGAGTAGTGGGATCCAGCCCGGCGAGGCAGGCGGGGGTACAGCCCAGGGCCAGGCCGCAGGGAGTCAGAGGCCAAGACCCCCGGCCCGAAGCCCGTTCTGGGTCCCTGACCTCGGGACCAAGGCCTCTCCCCGTCTCCCCCAGGCCTCACCCCACCCTCTGGCCCTGAGCCTGTGGGAGGCTTGAGTTGAGAGCAGGAGAGAGGAGTTCACTGCCTGACCCCCTTTTGATTACCCGCACCCCACTTTATTGCCAAAACCCAGCTGCACTCCTTGCTGGGCACACTGCTTTGCTCCAGCTCGGGGCCGGCTGATCACTCGCACGTTAAGAGCCTTCCGGTGCTGCCTCGCCAGCCTTGGGCGGACGGAGGCCGAGCTGGCCTGGGAGGGGAAGTGGGGACGGTCCCGGAGGGCTCTCCAACCTGCTGCCTGGAGGGATCTCCTCAGGACCCGGATTGACACTCATCCCCAGCCACTCCTTGGCCAGCTTGGCTGGGACTGAGAATGGAATCCGGTGTCCCCGCCATCTGCTCCCTTTTCTTTGCCATCTCTGCTTCCACCAGGGTGGGGGCTGGGTAACTGGCTCTGGGGGCAGAGGAGGCCATTGGGGGGGCCCAGAGTCCCCATGCGCCAGTATCACCCTCCTCCTGCCGCCCACCCCACCCTGCGGCTGGCTTTCAGGAGCTCCATACACACGCTGCCTTCGGTACCCACCACACAACATCCAAGTGGCCTCCATCACTGCCAGGGTGCGGGGCGGGTACAGCTCCTCCCCACTCCCCGTGGCCCCCCCCCCGCCCGTCTCCCCCAGCCGCTACCACACTCTAGGACCCCTTAGCAGCCCCGCAGCCCCAGTCTGAACAGTTGTCCCCCCTCGGTCTTTCCCTCTGCCCACCTTGGGAATGTAAATACACCGTGACTTTGAAAACTAGCCTTGCCCTTTCCCCATATGCCACTAGTGTGTAGGCAGATGTCTGAGTCTCTAGGTGGTTTCTAGGTTTTCTAGCAATTAGCTTTGATCCCATCCCAGGAAAAACTCAAAAAATAAAAAAAAAACAGCCAACAAACAGGAAAGATGGGTCCTCCCAGCTCTGCTGTGCTCCTGCCGGCAGCCCCATCTCCCTGTCTGCCTTTGCTTGGTCTGTTGAAAAGCCCAGTACAAAAAAGTTATATATATATATGTATATAAATATCAGAATTATAACAGGCAAATAAAAACCTGGAAACGAAGAGGGACTGTTGTTGTTTTTGTCCAGCACAACCCCCTGCCATCCCCTCAGTGCCGGCAGTAGGCCAGTGCCACCTCGGTTCCAGGCCTCGCTGCCTGCTCCTCTTGCCCCTGGTGGGCCTCCAAGGCAGCTCTGGGCTACCCCCACCACTGGACCTGTCATTCCTGCAGCCGGGCAGGCGAGGGAGCAGAGTGTGGTCAGGTATCAGGAGTCTCTTCCTTGTCTAAAGTAACATAACAATCTTTGAGTGCCCGCCTTTGGTGCCCAGCCCTTGAAACCAGTACCCACCTGATTTGTTTATTTTATATGATCTTATTAATTTCATTTATTTTTAAATCCTTACCCAATGATATTTTTCCATTGGTTTTTAGAGAGAGGGAAGTACAGAGAGAAACATGGATGTGAGAGAAACACCTGGATTGGTTGTCTCCTGCAGAAGCCCCGACTGGGGAGGAGCCTGCCACTCAGATATGTGCCCTTGACCGGAATCACACCTGGCACCCTTCGGTCCCAGACCAATGCTCTATCCACTAAGCCAAACCAATTGAGAAAATTGCATTTTCAAAAAATATATTTTTTATTGATCTTCCACAGAGAGGAAGGGAGAGGGACAGAAACATCAATGAGAGAAACATAAGAGTTATAAACATCGATTAGCTGCCCCCTGTATACCCCCCACCGGGGATGTGCCCACAACCAAGGCACATGCCCTTGACTGGAATCGAACCTAGGACCCTTCAGTCTGCAGGCTGACGCTTTATCCACTGAGCCAAACCGGTTTTGGCACAATTGCATTTTTTTAAAGTATGTTTTTATTGATTTCAGAGAGGGAGAGAGAGAGTCAGAAATATCAGTGATGAGAGAGGATCGTCCATTGGCTGCCTCCTGCAAGCTCCCCACTGGGGATCAAGCCCACAACCCGGGAATGTGCCCTGACCTCCAGGTTCATAGGTCCACGCTCAACAACGAAGTCACACCGGCAGGGCAACACCAGTACATACTTTAAATGAATGACCACATATAAACCTCACACGGCCTCAGAGGGACACTCTGCCTTGGGAACGTCTGAGTCTTTGCTCTGTGGCTTGCCCAGATAAGGGCCCCGCGCCATTCTCCACCCCTGGCCTCCGCAGGCCTTTGTTTCATCTTTAACTGAGTGGGTAGAAAGCTTCAGAAGATCATCTCTCCATGAAATCTGTCCCTGAAGCCTTACCTCAAACACTCTGCCCTCTCCTGGCCCCTGTGGGTAACCCCAGTCCATTGAGGTCAGCCCCGAACCCAGGTATCAGGTCCCACCCCTGTGACCCACTCAAGGATTGTTCTGTTGTGTCTTTTCTTTCTTTAAATATATATATTATTGATTTTTTACAGAGAGGGATAGAGAGGTAGAAACATCGATGAGAGAGAAAGATCAATCAGCTGCCTCTTGCACACCCCTTACTGGGGATGTGCCCACAACCAAGGTGCATGCCCTTGACCGGAATCGAATCCGGGACCTTTCAGTCTGCAGGCTGACGCTCTATCCACTGAGTCAAACCGGTTTCGGCTTAAATATATTTTTATTGATTTCAGAGAGGAAGGGAGAAAGAAACATCAAATCATTGATTGGCTGCCTCCTGCACGCCCCCTACTGGGGAATGAGCCCACAACCGAGGCATGTGCCTTGACTGGAATCGAACCTGGGACCCTTTAGTCCCCAGGCCGATGCTCTATCCACTGAGCCAAACCAGCTAGAGCCCTTCTCTTTTCTATACCTCTCATTTTTCAGTACCTGCTGGTCAGTCCCGTAATGTACCATAATAGCTTCTATCACTAAAAATGTTCCTCATTGCATGCCCTTCCAGATTTTGTCCCATTTCTCTGGGACAAAAGTTATAGCAAACCCCTAAACCCCTTAACACTTGTCTGCACTCACCATCCCTGCTTAACCTCCACCTGTAGCAGCAATTACTTACTGTCCTCAATATATTTATTTATTTATTTATTTATTTATTTATTTTATTGATTTTTTTTACAAAGAGGAAGATAGAGAGCTAGAAACATCAATGAGAGAGAGTCATCGATCAGCTGCCTCTTGCACATCCCCTACTGGGGATATGCCCGCAACCAAGGTACATGCCCTTGACCGGAATCGAACCCGGGTCCCTTCAGTCCCCAAGCCGATGCTCTATCCATTGAGCCAAACCGGTTTCAGCAATATAGATCTTCTTGTTCTTATATGACAAGAGCTGAGGATAGCCTTGGCCGGGTAGCTTGGCTGAAGCATCATCCCGATAAGCCAAGGTTGCGGGTTTGATCCCCAGTCAGAGCACATAAAGCAGCAACCAATAAATGCATAGATAAGTGGAACAACAAATCGATGTTTCTTTCTTCCTCTCTCTCAAATCAATAACGGGCACCAAGGGCGGGAATCCACAGACTGGTTATGTCACTTTAGAGAAGGAAGAGGCTCCTGATACCTAGCCACACTCTGCTCTCTCTTCTGCCCTGCTGCAAGAATGACAGGTCTGCCTGACCGGTGTGGTTCAGTGGATAGAGCATCAGCCTGAGGACTGAAGGGTCTCAGGTTCGATTCTGGGTCAGGGCACATGCTTGGCTTTCAGGCTCGATCCCCAGTGTGGGGCATGTAGGAGGCAGCCGATCCATGGTTCTCGTTCATCATTGGTGTTTCTATCTCTCTCCCCCTTTCCCTTCCTCTCTGAAACCAATAAAAATATATTTTAAGAAATGACAGGTCCAATGGTGGGTGTAGCCCAGAGCTGCCTTGGAGGCCCACCAGGGGCAAGAAGAACAGGCAGTGGATATATGCAGTCTTCGGAGGGGAGGGGGTAAGGGGGGGGGGAGAGTATACCTTTTAGGAACAGAGCTATTGGGCCAGAGAGTGGGTATATCAGTTATTAAGTCATTGTACTGTCTCTTGGGTACCAACTCACTTGGCTGTCCTCTGCTTCATGCTCGGTAATGGTTCGATTCCCGGTCAGGACATATGCCTGGGTTGCAGGCTCGCTCCCCAGTGTGGGGCATGCAGGAGGCAGCCAATCAATGATTCTCTCTCATCAATGATGTTTCTACTGCCGAAACTGGTTTGGCTCAGTGGTAGAGCGTCGGTCTGTGGACTGAAAGGTCCCAGGTTCAATTCTGGTCAAGGGCATGTACATTGGTTGCGGGCACATCCCCGGTAGGGGGTGTGCAGGAGGCAGCTTGTCGATGTTTCTCTCTCATCAGCGTTTCTAGCTCTCTATCTCTCTCCCTTCCTCTCTGTAAAAAAATCAATAAAATATATTTTTTTAAATGATGTTTCTATCTCTCCCTTCATCTCTTAAACCGATAAAAGTATAAAAATTAAAAAAAGAAATGTGGAGAAGCTGAAAATTCAACTGACATGGGATTCTATAACACACACAGTTCAACGTGGTGCTTGATTTTCAGCACTGTCTGCCCTACAGCTACAAAGAGTAAGAGAAATTTTAGGGCTGTCATGGAGCTCTCTGCTGCCTTGCAAGGGAACATCCATTCTCCTCAAGACCCACCACAACCAACCCTGTTGCCATGAGACCCACCATGAGGTCCATTCTCAGCATGGTTTAGCAGTACAGGCACATGCTAAGACCCAGGAGAAAGTAGCTTGTACAACAAAAGAATAGCAAGATTTTTTTGCCAGTAAATACTGGCAGAAACCTGGAGAAATATGTGTGGGAGTGGATTCTAAAGATGTTATAACAAGGAAAATGGAATGTAAACGTGGGTTGGGTCCACTTACCAAAGATTCTACCTTTCTCA